CAGGCGGCGGGTGGAGCCAGGGCCGCGCAGCGGCGGCCAATCGCGCCACGGCGGAGGAGGAGCCCCAAAGGGGGAAAAAAGAAAGTGCGGCGGAAAGTAAGAGGTTCATTGTGGGAAGACTGGCCGGATCAGGGTTCCCGGGACTCTGCTTCGGCCAGACGCAGGGAAAGAAGCGGTGCCGGGCGACCCTGCGTCCATTCTTGCCCCTTTCGCTGCTCCCTCTCTGCCTCCCAAGAAAGGTGAGTCTCTCGCTGTTAATGAGGGTTTGGAGGAATCACCGACTCCCAGGGTCTCGGGGTGGAAGTATTCGTACAAATCATCGTCTTTAGCCTTTTTTTTTTTCTTTTCCAGAAGGCCAAACTGAGGCACAGAGCAAGGCAGAAGCTGAGATAGATCGCACAGCTAGTTAGTGCTGTAGCCAGGACTCGAACCCACTGTCCAGAGCCCCATCTTTGCTTTGTACGGATTTAAGTAATGCAGTTGTGGGACGGCTGCTCGTTGCCGCACCCCACTTCCAGCCCTTTAAGGGCTCTTCCCTGATATACCTTCGCCTTGGTTTCTCCAGACCGCTGCTGTGAGCGGTGCGGATAGAAGAGGGCAGTGTGTCCCAGACTGTATCACGTCGTTTCTAGCTTGGACCTTTAACAGCCTGGGTAAAGGCTGCTTGCAGCTTCGCTCCCTCCTCCCCTGACCTGCTTTCTCAGAAAGATGCCTGCCCTTTCAGAGGGTGTCTGTGAAGTTCTTGGTGGACTCGGTGGAGAGGTGAGGGATGCCTGGGCGCCAGTGACTTTGTATGGTTCTCGCAGTTCTCTCTCAGCCCTGGGAGGAAGCGGAGCTGGTGGTCCTGTGGGGTATACGATGCCGCTTATTTAGAAAGAGCTGCCTCCGTGGAGCCACAGCTCTTCTCACTTTTAAGTAGTTGGAGAGAACAAGGAAACCGAGTTAAACAGAAAAATCACAAACATAAAGAGCAAACTTCTGCCGTTTCCTTTAAGAGTCTGTCTCCAGCTTGTCTTTCCTCCACCCCCTGGCGAAATTGTGAACCACAGCGCCTCTCAAAGCGTTTCTGCTACTCAGCTCTACGGATCCTCCGGTTAACAACCGGCGACGAGGAGATTTACCTGGTTTTGACTTAAGCTCTGCAGCGTTTTAGCAGTCTGAACTTGGGCAAGTTATCTGGTCTTTTTGATATGCCTCTTTCCCCCTCCCTCCCGCCCCCCGTTACGAAATGGTGATTATAATACTGACAATGAAGCCTTAGGGTAGTTGGGAGGATGAAGTGGGATAATTCAAATAACATGTTTAGCACAGTGCCTGGCCTGGCACCTGGTCAGGTTGAAATCAATGGCAACTATTATAAATATTGTTATATTAGTTACCCTGGAGACAATGGGTTTTCAGAAAGGTGATTTCATATAACCTTATAGTGACTTTTTTTTTTTTTTTAAATCTGGGATGTTGTGGTGTTTTTTTCTTTGGAGTTTGAAGAGCTCTCTAATAGTGTTTTCTGAATGCTGTGTACATGACTTTAATTGTGAACGCTTGATGTGGAATATAAAATTAATGTTTCTTAGTGATGCCAATCCTTACTAGCTTTTAGGTCCATGAAGCTCTGATCTGAGGTATCCTTTATTGGCAAAGGAGTCTTGAATTCGATGAGAATTAGGAAGACAAGAGGAGACACTGAAAGTTCCATCCATGCTGCAGACTGTTGTAAGCCTTTTATTCCT